GGTTATTGATCACCGGCACCATTACGCTCTACCTTTTCAAGACCTTCCAAGAGAAGCAGTTGTCCCTCACGTGCTGCTACCACGACGCACTGATCGTCATAAACAAGTGTGCCATTGCGTATCTCGCGGCGCTGGCCAAGATCACTCTCAGTTGTGTCGCGATTAAGTGAAACACACTGCATCTCGCGCCGCACAAGATATGAGTACATTTGCACCAGCCATCTCATCGCAGGGCCAGGTTCGCCAACAAGGCACATGTCTTGCCGCAGTTGTTCCTTTTGGCACATCCAGCGCAGATAACTACGCGTCGTAGAATCATGTAACTGAAAGAAAGCGTTACCACTATGCAATTGGAACCCCTTCTCGACCATATTGCCCGTGGAATTATCGTCGCTATTGTCGGGTTTATCCGTGTCAGCACCGCAACCCACGATGCCAGGAAGGAGCCACTTGACATTTTCCGGGTGGCTGAGGTTTTCTGGGACGGGCACCGTGATGTCCCCAATGGTGAGCAACAGTCCATCCGTACTGCCGCGTCCTCCCTGAGCGCATAGCTGTGTGTTAAAAAAGGGTGTTTTTGCTTTAGCTTCCGTGTAGCTTGTCAGCATGGCGAAAAGGAGTTGCGCCCGATATCTTAACATGCAAAAAAATTTTTTAAAATTCCCTTTCGGCGTCTGCGTACGTTCTTTTCGCAAACCGATGACAAACAAATAACAAGAAAGCCAGAGAACAAAAAAAAAAAAAAAAATGAATATATAATATTTGCAGTCCACTGTGCTGACGGAGAACGCGCTCTCCCCTTTTGTCCAGTGACGCATAATAGGCACACACACACACATATATACATATATATATATATATATATTTGTTGATGCCAATACGATAGTTTATATTCGTCATGCGAGTGGGAAGTCCTCATGGCGGTGCGTCAATTCCCACACGCGTTGAATCTCCAACACCGCCTCCTCCGCCTCCGCCACGCTAAAAAACCCCAGTGTGAATCCCACTTCCTTGCTGGAATCCGCTGCAGAACCCGCATGTGTCAAGCTCTGACGCGCACATGAACTTTTCTGCTGCTTTCCCTCATGTTGTTGACGACCAACGCACACAATGACACCGGTGTAGGGGTCAAAGGAAATGGATTGCAGCGCAGCAACGGTAAACCACCGCAAGTGCATCTCGCTGTGATGCAACGGTAGTTCTACCGCCAATAGCTTGGCGTCATGCCGAGGAACAACATACAGGCGTTCTGTGGAAAGAACAAGTTGACAGAGAAGTGGTTGTTTTTCGTGCTTTTGCGTTGCCCTCCCTGCTGCAGTAGACGCGGTGGTCGTGTTGGGAAACTCCATGGCGTAAATTTGGTACTGGAACACTTCTGGATCCTCTATGAGTTTATCCTCAAGCCGCTCGTGCCAGTAATTCATCTGCGCCTCGCGAAAAACACAACACCATTCCTGCTCCAAGAACGGAGAGCCCTCACTGGAAGCATACAGTGTCCTTGCGGGCTCTGACCCAGACTGCGGTGGTCGCATAAGGCCAACGTGAAACTCTCTCACTCGCAGTCCGCCAGGAGTCCCGTCGAGTGCTACCAGTTTCACATCCGTGAACACGTCATTTACGCAGCGGCACTGTATCTCCTTCATGTAGCGCTGCAACACGGTGCGTTGCGCGGACGGTTTGGGGCCCTTCTTCGTGCTGAAGTACTCAATGGCAAACCCATAGCAGTTGGCGCCCAATTCATGGCGGCCCGCAGCCCACATACGAGAAGGATGATTGTGCAGTGGAACCAACGCTCGAATCAGCCCGAGGCTCTCGCGCCACATCATCTCTGGCGGCGGCGGTGGTGGGGGTAGAGGTGCATGAGATTTCTCCCCCCCACTCCACTGGTTCTTTTGTTGTAATTCATCTTCTTCCTTTCCCTCTTTCCTGTTATCACCTGGCTTTCTCGACAAGAGTCTTGGTGGTGGATGGCGCTGCCGTAACTTGTAGAGATTTTTAGCGGAAAGCACCAACTGCAAGTCATATCCGCTCGGAAATAAGTCCAACTCATGGCCATTGCTCCCGACTTTATGTCGCACAACGGTGCTGCCAGTGATGTACACATCGCCGTGTCGCTCAAGTATAGGCACAATGCCCCGTCCACTCATCTCCCAGAAATCGCTTCGCCCTCTCTCTCTCCCACTCCCTCCCTCTCTTACTTAGCGATCGATAATGTAGGTGGCCCACAAACAAGAACAACAGGAAACGAGAAAGCGCTCATCGTGCAGCACCGTGCCACCCAGCGGCAAACAGTGAAGGAGCTTTGGAAAAAAAAAAAAGCACAAAAATCCCTTTTTTCAAGCAAAAAAAAGAAAACATAAAGAAAAACAACTTAAAACTGTCTGTGCTCTGTCATTGCCTTTTGTTCGACTCCTCGTGTATGGCCAACACACGGGAAATAAGCCGATCGCACCATCTCTCATGTCTCTCTAAGAGGACATCATCCTCCGGCAGCGAGATGATCGCCCCAGTGCCCTGTGTGGGAGAAACTGGCACTGGTTCATATGACGCCTCGGCATTTCCTTCATCCCCCTCCACCTCTTGTTGTTGCCTTTCCATTTCGTACTGTTGACGTGCCATACGGCGGCGAAGCTCCTGCCACGTCTTTGGCAATTGACGCGCCGCGTATCGCATCACTTCCGCGTCATTGGCCGGATATCGAAGCGCGTGGGCAACAGCAACAACGCCCTGGGCCACAGCCTCCGGTGAGTAACCGCCCTCTAGGACGACAACAAGACCGGCATGCAACCCCCGTGATGATTGTTGTTGCGTTCGGCAAAACTGCTTCAGTGCTCGCACTGCGTACGTGAATCCGCCTTCAACGGC